GTTCCAAGCCTGATCAGCAGAGGTGCAGTGCTGACGAACATAAGAACTTTTAAATACTACAGTTTTGTTTTAAATTCAGTAATAGTTTTCCTTCGTTTTTACAGAAAAGTAGGTTTGGAAACAATAGAGTGTGTTTTGGAAATTTAATTTTATAAATAATTTATAGGCTTCATGTTCCTAGAACTTTGGGAATTATTTGAGTTTCAAAGTGAGAAATAAGCCTCAAAGTGTACATTTAATGTGCTGGTTGTGTAATCTGATTAATGACACCCATCAGTTGCAAAAGAGAATGACATAATCTTGAAATCATTGGCTTGGTTATATTTTAGAACATCAGGTTCTTCTCTGCCAAGTCACAGTAACTACTAAGGTTTGGCATCCTTTGTCTGTGTGCTTCCCAACCCACTCCAAAATATTGAGAGAAAAAGTCATTGAGTAATGACTGACCACCAGACACTAATTTATCTAGGTTAAGTTACTTAAATAGAAAAGACAATATTTACATTTGCTCTCATTCACTCTCCCCTTTATTAATTTTCTTTTCTCCTTCAGTAGACTATAATGCAAGTTGTTATTTAACTGCTTAATCCTTTATAAAACGACTTCCAAGTTAGCTATTATTTTTTTCCAGATAGTCTTCTCATTAAAATAATTATTTTTCCAGAGTAGTTTCTGTTTGGGGGGTTCCAAATATTCTATTCTGATTCTTTATTATTATTATTATTGATTAAGTTATTTCATTTGTGTCCTTTCTATTCTGATTCTAATTCTATTCTGTTCTCTTCGCTCTAATCATTGAAAAACAGCTATTTCTGAATAACTGAACATTAATTTAGACCATTTTTGTTAAGCCCAAAAAATCTTACCTAGGAAGTTTTTAGACCAGTGCTTAAACATTTACATATAGATGAATTTAGTCTTGTATACAGACAGTTGATTTTTGATACAATATTTGAAAGACAAAAAAATAACATATTGGAATTAAACTTGTTTGTTTTTAAAACTAGAAAGACTGAAATTTAGTATATACCTATATTGCCCAAAAGCAGTCAAAATGACTGCATTGTGAAAGAATAACTAATGTGTAAAGAAATTTGCTTAAAATTAATTTTTAATATTTTTTATATTATTTACAGTTATATAACAAGTTATTCGACATTTCTTTCATGAATTTAGGGCGCAAAAGAAATAAAATAAACAACTTATTAGAACAAGTATCACTGCATAAAGATTCGAATAACAAGTACTAGTTTACCTTATTGCGCAACTGCAACTTATCAAGTATCAACAGTTTATCATGTACTTGTATGTTATC